CCTGACGTGGTCCTCATCGCCAACCGCTTCAACCCCGATAACCTCATGCACGTCTTCCATGATGACCTGCTCCCCCTCTTCTACACACTGAGGCAGTTCCCCGGCCTGGCCCAAGAGGCCCGGCTCTTCTTTATGGAGGGATGGGGCGAGGGCGCCCACTTTGACCTCTATAAACTCCTCAGCCCCAAGCAGCCGCTGCTACGTTCGCAGCTCAAGACACTGGGCCGACTGCTCTGCTTCTCCCATGCTTTCGTGGGCCTGTCCAAGGTCACCACCTGGTACCAGTACGGCTTTGTGCAGCCCCAGGGCCCAAAGGCCAACATCCTGGTCTCTGGCAATGAGATCCGCCAGTTCACCCGCTTCCTAATGGAAAAGCTGAACGTGAGCCACGCGGGGGCGCCCCTGGGGGAGGAATACATCCTGGTCTTCAGTCGCACCCAGAACAGACTCATCCTGAACGAGGCAGAGCTGTTGCTGGAGCTAGCACAAGAGTTTCAGATGAAGACAGTGACGGTGTCCCTGGAGGACCACACCTTCGCTGATGTCGTGCGGCTGGTCAGCAACGCCTCCATGTTAGTCAGCATGCACGGGGCCCAGCTGGTTACGGCCCTCTTCCTGCCCCGCGGGGCCACTGTGGTCGAACTTTTCCCTTACGCTGTCAATCCTGACCACTACACCCCGTATAAGACGCTGGCCACACTGCCTGGCATGGACCTGCAGTATGTGGCCTGGCGAAACATGATCCGGGAGAACACAGTCACACACCCTGAGCGACCCTGGGACCAAGGGGGCATCACCCACCTGGACCGGGCTGAGCAGGCCCGCATCCTGCAGAGCCGAGAGGTCCCCCGGCATCTCTGTTGCCGGAACCCAGAATGGCTATTCCGGATCTACCAGGACACCAGGGTGGACATCCCATCCCTCATGCAATCCATTCGGCGTGTGGTGAAGGGCCGGCCGGGGCCACGGAGGCAGAGGTGGGCATTCAGCTTGTACCCAGGCAAGGTGCGGGAGGCTCGCTGTCAGGCATCGGTGCACGGTGCCGCTGAGGCCCGCCTGTCCGTGTCCTGGCAGATCCCGTGGAACCTCAAGTACCTGAAAGTGCGAGAGGTGAAGTATGAGGTGTGGCTGCAGGAGCAAGGGGAGAACACGTACGTGCCTTACATGCTGACCCTGCAGAATCACACCTTCACGGAGAACATCAAACCTTTTACCACCTACCTGGTGTGGGTCCGCTGCATCTTCAACAGGAGTCTCCTGGGACCTTTTGCAGACGTGCTGGTGTGCAGCACGTAGCCGGCAGACCATGGCCAGGTCTCAGGAGGGTATCTTGCAGCTCAGCTTTCCCGGGCCCACGCTAGCAACTGTGGTGATTAATTATCTATTTATTGAGTAGGCTTGCACTAAGCCTGCTTCCCGATGTGTGCTGTCTGCAGAATTCTTCTAGCCCTGAAGAAATAGTGCCTGCTCTCTGTGCCACCCCTACCCAGGAGGAATTCCTTAGTGTCGAGGAGAAGGCATAGCCGGGTCCCAGGGATCTGCCCTTGCTAATAATCGTGCTCTTTCCTGCCGCTGCCTTGGTGCAGGTCCTGCCTTGTAGAAACAGTGGTCATCTGGTTGGTGGGGAAGGCAGATAATTGCGAGTTTCATCTGTAGCCGAGTGACAGGTGTGTTTGGAGCAGTCATTAAATGATTACGATTATCTTGCCCAAGTCTTTTCTGATGCCTTATTAGCATGCATGAATTATACCTTGTAATCCGTTTCATACGATGTTTCTGTGCACATTTATAATACATTTCAATACCATTCACCTCAGTAACCCTTCCTGTCCCCCCTTCCACTGAGCCTTTCCTCTCTCCAACCCACCTTCCTATTTTCAAGTCCCGTTTTGTCTTTGTGAGTCAACAAATTTCTTAGGGTTGCTGACAAGCACCTGGGTGAGGGTTTGTCTGCGAGGGCACCTTACCATTGACTACACAACTAAAGAAAATGTCTCCTTCCAGACTCTAACCAACCATATAAATCCTCAGTGAGGGACGCTGCCCCGGGAGCTCCTCCCATTTTCCGAGAAGGTATAGATTGGCCTGATCTTGGTTGGTCACCACAGCTGCTGTGAGTTCAAGAGTGCAGCGGCTTAGTCAGACCCAGAAGTCCGTGCTCCATACCCCAGCTACTCATTCTTGCCCCTTCCATATGCTCCTTGAGCCTAGGCAAGGGTGACAGATGCCCACAGATGAGCACTCAGTAGTCATTCTCAGCACCGTAACCAGTTATGAGTCTCCAGGCGCTGCTGGCCACTTCAAAAGGAAGGCCCGACAGAGCCCACGGCAGCACTGATCCATAGACGTGCTGATCCGTAGGCATGGGATTATCCAGAGGATAATCTCATAGGTGTGTCATATCCGTGAAGCTCAGCAGCAGTAGCTTCCCTGGGAGAGAGAGCCCACACACTCCCCAGCCACAGGCTTCTAACAGGTTCCAGCATCAAACCTGAATTCCCTCATGTGGAATGGTTCTCAAATCCAACCAGGAGGCAGTTGGTTTTCCCATAACAGACCTGCCCTGTAGCATCAGGGGGGACCATCTTGCCTGGCTGTTTGCTATTATCTGCAACCACATAAGGTGGTTGATATGCCCTCGCCCAGCAGCCTGCATAACACTTTATTCTATGAGGGCAGTGAGCAGGGAGTGTTGTCTTTTATAAAAAGAAAGAAGCCAGAGGTATGTTTGGTGGAGGCGCGGTATGGTGTGGGGGAAGGAGGTGCCTCTGCGGGCCCATGCTGAGGGACCCTTCCCCCTGAGGGACCAGCCGCGCAGGATGATACAGAATAGAGTTTATATAGGACATGGGGAAGGGAGTTGAGGGGTAGTAAAGACAGAAAGGCAGAGAGAGAGGAGAGAAGAGAAGAGGAGTAGAGGCTGCCCATGCGCATGTGGGGGGGGGGGGGAGAGGAGAGGAGGGGGGTGGGGAGAGAACAAGAGAAAGAGAGTAAGGAGGGGGCAAGCAGCCCCTTTTATAGTGAATCAGGCATACCTGACTGTTGCCAGGTAACTGTGGGGCTGAGCCTAGAAGGAATGTCAACAGGAAGAAAGATGGATATCCCATCAAAAGTTCCATCTTGATGTCTCTTGTGTCCTGACACAGCTGTTTGGTGTTTCCAGCAGAAGGGTTTCGTCATCTTATTCTAGCGGACAACTAACAGAGGCAATTACCTGTATCTGGGAGTGGCCTAAGGAGCCAACTTAAGCTACAGGTCAGAGAGAGAACACCTTGGGCAAGTCTTATTGGATAGCAAGAAGCAGAGTTGGCAGTCAGTACTTTCAATTTTGATTGTCAAAGGAGATGTCACCGTAGGATAGTATCAGGACTGTGAAGGGAGAATGCTGGGAAGAGCTCATTTGATGTGCCAGATGTGTGGCCAATGTCTCACACAGGTGATGAAGAAGAGGGCATCCATGGGGGAATAGCCATAATACCCACGTTTGACCTGGATAGTGCCTGGTGGTGTGTTCTCCCTGATCATAATGAAACTATAGATGTGCTCTCATTAAAGCCAGGAGTGCAATGTGCACACGGCTGAACCTTTTTAATCTCAAAAGACAAAACCAGACCCAACCAAAGTCCTAAAACAGCATAAATAAGGAGAAATTAAAATATAAAACTGAACATTCAGTTTTCTACTTAAAGACTATTAAGAGGCATATAAATAGTTATCTAGAGGGCTTAAAGAGAGAACTCAGCAGAGGTCAGGAGAACCAAACTTCAGTTCCTGGCACTCACGAGGCAGCTCACAACCGTTGTAACTCCAGTTCCAGAGGCCCCAGGGACCTCTGCTGTCTTCTTCCAGCACGGTGTGCATGTGATGCACAAACGTACATGCAGACAAAACACTCATACACACAAAAGAGATGCTTAGGTGGACACTCACACCACCAAGCAGAATATAGCCACTTGGATTAGAACAGTGTCCAGTTTTGAAGCAGGGACGTAAGAAACACGATGAGTGGAACCCAGCACAGTTCACAAAAGGCCTCTGTGTGCTTGGTTTTTATCTGATGAGAGTATACTTTGAGCCGGGAACAGAATAGACTCTTGAATGGAATCTGGGGCAACGAAACTTAAGTGATCTCCCAACACAGACCTCTCTCACATGTGATTCACACAAATGAGCACTGAAGTAAAAGAAGTAAACAATGGCATTTCAGTGACCCAAAGGAGCAGAGCCTTTCTAAGGCATGAACCCCAAGAGACTCACGGGCTAACATGAACAAATTGGACTGCACAGAATCCCAGCTTCCTATTGCACAAAAGACAAACAGGTCAAGTCACAAATGGTGGACTGAGGGAATCACCGACAAGTCTAATAGCCAGGGCTGAGTGCAGCTCAGATTCAAAGCTCTCTAGGGCACAACCAAGGAAGGGACAGACACAGAACAGTCAGCCCAAAACACACACAGTGTCTAGCATGGAAATGAAGATAATGTCTAGGGTACCACAGGGGACTCAGGTTTTACAGCAGTCTTCTCCCTCCTGGAAGGATGGCTCAATGGTTTAGGGCATCTCATGCTCTTTACAAGGGTCTACAAAGAGTTCAGTTCTTAGCACCTGTACAATGTGGCACACAACCACCTGTAACTCCACTTCCAAGGACTCTGATATCCTCTTCTGGCCTCCATAGGCACCTGCACACATCTGGTATATACTCACAGACATAAACATAAATTAAAATTAGTGCCTGGAGAGGTGGCTCAGTGGTTAAGAGCACTGCCTGTTCTTCCAGAGGATCCAGGTTCAGTTCTTAGCACCCACATGGCAGCTCACAACTGTCTGTAACTCAAGTCCCTGGGGCTTGACACCCTCCTCTGGCTTCCATAGACACTAGGTACACACGTAGACCACATATATATATAGTCAGGGAAAACACCCATGCATGTAAAAATAAAATTTGAAATTTAAAAAAAATGAATCTTAAAAACTAGACTTCTTTGGTTGGTATATAGTTCAGTTGGTAGAGTACTTGCCTAGCATGTATGATGTCCAGTTCAGGCATCTACCGACATTTCTCTGTACACATGCATGCAGCACTGCATGTACATGTTCAGGGAACACTTCATGAACACATTTATTGGTGCATGGGAGTAAACTGCAAGAGCCGAGAATGTAGTCTGAAGGTTCTCCACCAGCCCCAGCAGGTGAGCTGTCCGATGGCATTGTAGGCTCCTCCAGCTCTGGCTTTTCCCATTTGTCATCAGGATGGCCAGCTGTTGTCAAGGAAATGCTGTCATTGAGAGGGATGGTCACCAGCAGAGGTTTGCACTGTGTAAAGTCCTCCAGCAAGGTGTGCTCAGCCTAAGACAGCCATGGGTTCACAGGTCCTTGTCCCTGAACAGTGTGAGGTTATGTTTCTGGATGTGTCTCAGCAGGGCTTGTCCTCGCCTCTCCAGTGTCTCAAGGACATGCTTCAGACCTAAAGCTCCACCTTGGCTCTGCCAGAACACCCGGTCCATCTGCAGCGACTTGAACAGCAGGTTCTGAAGACAGCCTGATGCGAGAACCTTCACAGCGGACTCAGGAAACCTGGATCCAAAGCCCCAGAGCCCGTGCAAGAAAGGAAAGTCATACATTAGCTGAGTCCCCACAAATTGTGAATCCAGAATAAGTAAGCTCAGAGAGTCCCCACAAAGTGTGAATCCAGACCTTGCTGAGGAACCCAACCCAGTCAGCCAGGGCAGTCCAGGCCTGCGCCTGCTAGTTCCTTATCAGAGAATTCTTGACCTGCTGTGCCCTGAAAGCAGAGGGTCGTTCTCTCAGATGGGTCCCATTCTACAGTGAAGCCTGGAGAGCCAACTTGACCACTGTAGGCTCAGCCAGGCACAGTCAGGGCCTCAAAGGGGCTTGAGAAGGCTGAGCTACCTACTGGGAGTGAGCAAAGAAGGGCAGGTCCCTTTTTTTTTTACCCAGATCCAGGATGAGCTAGCTTTCACAGTCTGGAGCAGGGCAGCTGGTATTCTTCAGGAACTGGAGGCCCTCTGGATATAAGGGACAGGCCTGCCAACTGTAGCCCATCTCAGCCTTCTCCAGCCCTCTGCAGCTTCAGAATCAGCTTTGGTCTGACAGACTTTAGCCACCTCAGGAGATGTAGTTAAAGGTCCCACAGTCTGCAGCAGGGCCATCAAACCCCATCCCCTAAACCTCTATCCAACATCAGCTTCTCACCCATCTATGCCTTCCAGCAGCCGGAAGTTAAGCTTGTCCTCTGGATGCTGAAGATTGCCGGCATTGTCTATGTAGACCAAACGAGATGGATCACTTCTCCGGACCTCAGAGAAAGAATATGGACTCAGTCCTTATTCAGTCCTCAGCCGTCTGTACCACAACTCCCCCACTCCACCCCCACCCCCACCCCCCTTATCCACACGGCTCCACGGCTGAGGGCTTCCTGCACACCGGTGCTGTGTACCATCTCTGTAGATCCTCCCAGCAGCCTTAGGAACATAAAACTATTAAGTAATTTATACAAGATCACATAGCTAATAACCAGTTAGGACAAACTCAAACCTGAACCCACAGCAAAAAGCCATAACTGTGCCTGCTAACTTGCAGGGCAAGGGGGGTGATTCCTGGTATCATGTCCAGTGGGGTCAGACCCATGGGTGAGAACTGAACTGTCAAGGTTGGAAAAAAAAAACCTACTCCTCAGGGTCAAGAGCTTCATGCCTTATCATAAACACACATGCATGCATGTTTGCTGCACACACACACACACACACGCCTTATCATAAACACACATGCATTCGTGTTTGCTACACACACTCCTTATCAGAAGCATACATGCATGTGTGTTTGCTACACACATGCCTTATCATAAACATACATGCATGCATGTTTGCTACACACGCACACACACACATCTCTTGCCACTTCTGCCTAAGTATCACTAAAACCACTATGTCCTTTATCCAAATAGATCACCAACCTAATTTCACAGGAAGTAGCTTTAGCATCTCTTAAATCCTCCCCGTGCTAAAACTAGAAAGACAGAATTCTCCAGCACTTTAAAAAAAGTCTATACGGGGCCGGGGAGATGGTCAGTGGGTAAAGGCCATACCATGCATTTATGAGGACCTGAAAGCGCAGAACCCTCCTAACAAATCCATGTGAAGTTGTGTGTGCCTACAACCCAAGTCTGAGGAACAGAGGGAAGAGAGTCCCTGGGGCTAAATGCTGGGCTAGCTGAACTGGCAAACTCTGAGTTCAGTGAGAAACCCAGTCTCCCAAAGTAATGTGAGGATAGAAGAACACTTGATGAAAACTGCTGCCTCTACATGCATACACTCACCTGAAGGTATGCACACACACATGCATACACACATGCTCACACATATGCACACACATACACACACACTCGCACAAGCGCATGCACACACACACACACTCATTTAAGGTTCGGTGTGTTCAGGAATAAGAGCCTATCTCTTCTGGTCCCTCACTCCCAAGCACACACTGTTCCCACACACTATAGCCCTCCCCTGCAAGTCTATGCTTGACCTATGAACTTTGAGCTTAAGGACCCAATCATGACCTCTCTCTGCCTCTTCTCCCTTCCACCCAGAGCCCAGTTATCAAACCCCACCTCTAAAAGACTTCCAAGTCCCCCAAGGCATCTTGAGGCACAGTGAAAACAGGGCTCCACACCCACCCACTCCACCTCAGTCACATCTCAATCACCCCCTTGGTCTTTCATGTATCTGGTTTCCTAGAAGTGTTATTTAAGCCAAGGTTTGCTTGGAGAAAAAAGGGAGGGAGAATCAGGAACCCCTGTGTCTAGGCATCAAGAGCATCCTCTGCAGGAGAGAGGTGTACCGATGCTCACGTGACAAGGGACTGTACACAGGAGACATACCAGGATGTGGACCAGCCGCAGCTCCTCTGGGTTCCGACATTTCTCTCGGAGCCCCTCTTCCACACAGGGGTCGGAGGGCTCAGGCTCAAAGCCACAGCAGTAACGATCCAGGCGGTCGTGGACCTACAGAGAAAGCCGAGATGGTTCCTGTCTTCTCCAGACCCAGTATCAAGGCCGCTTAGCCTGCTGGGCTCTGCTCCAGCCAGGGCATGCTAAAACAGCCTTTAGGGGCTGCCTGTGCGGGTCAGCCCTGGACTGGCCTCCAGCTGAAAGGGAAGCATTTGCTCTAATTCTTTAAGAGTTAATAATTAATTAGTGATAAAGCCCGACTCTCTGTCAGTGTCCTGAAGATGGACTTGGGGGTCACAGAACCCCTGTATCTGCTCCTCTGTTTACTACCACGACTCACCCCTTAAGTTGGCATGTTAGGAAGAATGGCCAAAGCTTAGCCCATGAAGGCTGTCAGAGCCAGGACTCCAGGACCCAGCAGAGACCCCAGCGAGTGTCTGGCTGAATTGACAGACAGCAGATTGGTGCTGCAGAGCTACTGGTGTATGAAGGAATGTCACCCCAATGGCCAGCCTGCCGTCACTGCCACCTCTACCTCGCACCCTCCTCACTGCGGACCCACAAGGCAGGAACTGCATCACCCTGAGCTCAGACACATCCGGGGTCGTAAAGGAGAACGCACACCACTGGATTTGAAGTTGATGATGTTGTTGAAGCCTAGGTTGGGTCCCTGTTTGTGGACATTAGGGGTTGCATATAGAAAAGGGAGGGAGGATGGTAGTGTCCACAAAAGTTGAACTGGGTCTGTAGCCCCGGCTGGCTGAGCAGAAGCTGATGTCAGGCGTGAACCATTCGGTCACCACCCATGCATGGTGCAGCCTCCACAGTCACAGGGGTGATGGGCCTCGATTCTCTGGTACCCTTTCCATCAGCCTTAACTAACTAGACCAAGACCAAAGCAAGCGATCCATGATGAGCATGATGGGGATCCCTTGATCCCGGTGAGTGACTCACCCTTGCTGCTCTTCCGGGAGGCAGGGCAGTATCCCAGAGAGGGCGTGGTCTGTTTGGGCTTGTGCACTGATCAGATGCACCCAGACTTCCCTGCCCTGGAGTCCCCTTCCCACTGAATCACGTCTGCTAACCTTACCAGCAGGTTTCTTAGACTATCGGTCACAGACTGCAGATGGACCCAGGGCCCCATGACTGTACCCTCTCCCTCCTTCCTGATTCCCCAGATGCCTGCAACTTCATCCTTTCTCTGAAGTTCTTTCCTGTCCTTACTGAGTCAAGCCTTGTTCCTTGGAGTCTGGCCTTCAGTGCTGTGCCCCTGAGTTTTCTCCCTTCCAGGTCCAAGCTGCTTGGTGCTCAGGCTTAGTCAGTGTACTTGATGTCCAGCCCATGAACCTGGATCACCTGTAAAGGCCCCTGTCATCCCATCCCCAAGTTCAGAGGAGCCTTCTGGTCCCTGAACAGGCTTTGCCCACCCACGTGGCAGACTGGAAGTAATACAGAATTACTGTTCCTCTCACACAGAGGCACCATCCAACCACCAGTGAGCTGTCGGCAGTGGCACGCAGACACTTGCGGCACAGGACTCTGTCATCTCACACAGACCCTCACGAGGGTTTGGTCTCTCTTGCCCATGCTGGTGCCACCTCACGACCACAACTTCCGGGCTTTTCCTGCTCTGCCTCTCTTCCTCATTCTGCAGCAGACTTCCTGGGACCAACCACCTCCCAAATGAACTGCTGGCACAAATCCTACTGCTTCAAGGGAAACCCCAGCTGGAGAGAGGCCCCTCACCATCACTGACAGCTGTCCACACTCTTCTGGGTCCAGTATTATCGCACCTCAAAATGTTCCAACCTCCATGTGTCTCACCCCAGAAAAAAACAAGTTGATTTCAAAAAATTTTAAGTAGGGTAACAATACTCCATGTGGCCACGTGGAGAGTCACATAGGCAGAGGGAGATTTAAAGCAGGGCATATGCTTTGGGTGTGTGGTTGCAAGAGTTCCGGGGACAGACTGACCACAGGTTCCCCTCAGGAGGCACAAGCTTTCCCCAGCTCCCTCAGTGCACTAGGCCTTCGGCCCAGAGTCCGGTGTACAGTATGGACTTTGGCGGTATGACCATAGGCAAGCCTAGCATTTGCAGAACAATGGTGTATGTGATGGCTAGGGTGGTGGTGTTGGTTTTGTTGTTGTTTTGCCAACCTGACATAAGCTAGGCTCATTTTGGAAGGGGGACCTTCGATTAAGAAAATGTCTCTATCAGATTGGCCTGCAGGCAAGGCTATGGCAGAATATTCTTGACTAATGATTGATGTTAGAGGGCCCTGCCCACTGTGGGTGGTTCCATCCCCAGGCACGTGGTCCTGGCTTGTTTAAGGAAGTGGGCTGAGGGAGGCGCGGGGAACAAGCTTGTAAGCAGTGTTTCTCCATGGCCTCTACTTCAGTTTCTACCTCTAGGTTCCTGCCTTGAATTCCTCCTGTGACTTCCCTTCATGATGGACTGTAAGTTGTAAGCTCAAATAAACCCTTTCCTTCCCAGGCTGCTTTTGGTCATGGTGTTTATCACAGCAATAGAGAACAAATTAGAACAGACTAGCAGAAACCCTTGCCTGCTGCATTGCTAGGACAGTTTTATCAAGTCTGGAACATCATAGCTGCTCTGGCTTGTGTTCTGCCCTCCCTCGACACACAGTCGGAGCCAGCAGAGGCCTCTGCTCCTGCCAAGCCCTCCCTGACCACGTCTTAGGCTGCTCCATCCAAATTTCCTGTTATGCAGCATTTATTTGCCAGCCAGCATAATACAGGCAACACTGGCCTCCTAAAATGTGCGCCCACCTAGATGTCTGGCAGAAAGAGTGTACTGCCGACGTGCCGGGTTGATTATTCTGCCACGCTGTCTGCTTTGTTTTCCAGTCAGCTCAAGCGGCGGCTCACATTCCTTCAGGACTTCGCCCTTCCTCCACTCTTTGAAAAAATGAGAAGCTACCCAAAGAAATGATGATTCCATGCAGTTCCAACGCACTGAGCCAGCCCGGCTGTGCTGCAAACTGTAATTTAATCTGGAGCTTTCCATTAGTAAGTGGCCTTGCAAAGCTCAGGCTGTGTAGGTACCACGCTGGGAGCTTTACCCAGCACAGTGCACTGGGTCCCCCAAGGCAGCCAAGGGGGACCCTCATTCCAGTTATGGAGAGGAGAGCAAGCCATGGAGGGGGACTGGCTACTGTGCTGAAGGCCACATGGCTACAAATGGCGATCCCTGGATTTCAAGCCAGGAAGTCTGGCTCTGACCACGAAGGCTGGCTGTGTGGCAGGCATATATTCTCTGGCATTCAGGGCTGTAAATTCTTGGACAGGAAAATAAATGACTGAAATAAAACAAGTAAGTAATTTAAACAGTCTGACCCTAGGACCCAGGATGCATTTGACACAAGTTGAGACTTAGTGAGGTCTTCTGAACACAGGAATGAATGAAGCATGAAGAATGACCACAGGGTCTCCAAGAAGGCCTGAGTTACAGGGTCCCCAAGGAGGCCTGAGGTCACAGGGTCCCCAAGAAGGCCCGAGGTCACAGGGTCCCCGAGGTCACAGGGTCCCCAAGAAGGCCTGAGGTCACAGAATCCCCAAGGAGGCCTGTAGTCACTGGCCCATCATACCTACCACCTGGCTTCAGGGGAGGCCTGACTCTGTCAAGTCTCAAACAGAAAATCTGAGTGGGATAAGACAGTGCAGTTGGCCAAGGAAGGCCACAGGCCCACCAGACGGAGATGGAGGGTGGGCAAGCACAGGGTGTGGATGGCCCTATTCTTCTGACTAGACTCATCTGGCTTTTGAGCCAAGCCAGACAGATTCCAGAAGAGATGTCTGGTATTATTGTGGCCCACACCCTTCATCTGGGACCCTCCTTGGTTTCTTTTCTACTTGGCAGCCCAAGTGTCCTAACATTTGCTGGGGGGTGGGGGTGGGGTTCATTCTTCCCTTCATAGGAACATTATCTTTCCCAGAGAGTAAATTCCTCATGGATCAGGCCCCCCACACACACACATACACATATGCACATATACATAGGCACATACATGCACATGTGTATATGTATGCACACATACATGCACACATACACAAACAAAATTTAAAACAAATAAACCAACAAATATACCAGGCATGCTGGTGTGTACTTCTGTGTGTGATACTGGGGAAGGGAAGACAATGGATTTCCGGGGTCAACTACCTGCCAGGAAAGCCTAGGCGGTCACTTCCAGGCTGATAAGTTCAACAGGCACCTGAGGATTGCAACTCAAAAGTTGGCAACCTCTGACCTCAGCATGTCCACACCCTATCCATCTGCCCATGCACACACTGGTGGAAGATAACATGAAGTTAGTACAGGAGAGGAACAAGATGAACATAGAGAAATCACAGTCCCTCCACAGCCAAGGAGCAACCACCGTGGACAGATACTGGAAGGAAAGGTCCTTCTTTGATGGTCCACAGGGAGATGGAATGTCCAGGAACGACTAATGACAAAAATGAAGGAAGGCCCAGTCTCAGGGTCAAAGTCACTGTGCTGAAACACAGGAGGGAAGGGTTTATCTGGCTTACACTTGTAGCTAACAGTGCATCACAGAGGGAAGTCAGGGCAGGAACCTGGAGGCAGGAGCTTATGCAGACGCCATGGAGGAGTGCTGCTTCCTGGCTTGCCCAGCCTTCTTTCTCATAGAACCCAGGACCACCACAGCCCAGAGTAGCACCACCCACAGTGGCCTGGGTCTTCCCCCATCAACCACTAATCAAGAAAACATTTGACAACTGGATCTCATGGAGGCATTTTCTCAACTGAGGTTCCCTCCTTTCAGATGACACTAGCTTGTGTCAAGTTGACATAAAACTAGCCAGGAGAGTCCCAGTGAAGAAAACACAAGATGCTCCCAGAAACATGGGCAGATGAAGCACTAGGCCCTATTCTTGGAAGTATGAAACAGGCTTGTTTGGGTGGTTGGTTTGATTTGGTTTTGAGTCAGGGTCTCTCCATGTAGCCAGCTGTCCTGGAACTTACTATGTAAACCAGGCTGGCCCAGAACTCACAGAGCATCTCCTGCCTCTGCTTCCTGAGTCCTGGGATTAAAGGTGTGTGCCGCCACCATGCCCATTGAGTGGTACATTTTAGGGTGCAACTTCGCTGTCAGTCCACAAAATTTAATTTAATTTTAATGAAGTCCCAGAGGGATTTGGGAATGAAAGAATAAAAGCCACACAGTAACTGTAAATTCACATGAAAACACTATCCCAGCAAACTCTGAAAATGAGCGATGAGAAAGAGACACACACACCCTTGTAATGAAAACATGGTGAGTCTGGTATCTGGAACAGAACATTCCAGAAATAGCACCACATACATAAAGAAGCTGGCTATCTGGGAAAGGTAGCATTTCAAATGGAGGAAATGCTTCTCCAACAAATGGCACTGGGACATTTGGGCTCAAAATACTTCCAGATGGACTCAAGATGGATAAGAAAACAGAAGAGAACTTTTTAAATAACTGAAGCAAGGAGTGGCCTTTTGAAAAAAATCACACAAGTCCTGAAGCAAAGCTTGATCATTTTTTACAGAGCAAAGACAGATTTCTACACAGCAAAAAGTTTACACAAAGTACTGTTACAACTCATGTGTGTGAGGGGGTCACAGTACACAAGCACCCTAGCCTACTTACCCTCCCCAGACCAGCCTGGAACCCACCAGTCACCTCCCACCACTCCTGAAAGCTGCACTGTGGGGTTGGGTCCCACAGTTCCTTGAATGGCTGCCTTCTCTCCTACAGGTAGACAGGTCTTGCTGGGATCCTTGTGTCAGACTCTGCTGCTGACGACTGAGACGAACGCACCAGTTGCAGTAAGGGGGCAGGGTTGGGCAGGCTGTGACAGAGGCAAAAGACACAATGGGAGACATTGTGTTGGCCCCAAGAAGAGACAGTGCTCAGAACAGAGTCCTGACAGCTGAGGCCTTCTGGGTCCTAGCTTTAGGGGCCATGAGCCTCCTTCAAATACCAACATAACTCACAAATCACCTGACTTCTACACAATTCAGACAGTGACATGTGCCTAGGAGGCAGACTGCAGTGTGGAGCTGTCCCCCAGGTGTCACATGGTCATTGCTAGCTCGAGGTAAGAGGTGAGAGTAGCTGTGATTACCCACAGGAGTCCCCACAAGGTGGGTCTCAAACAGTGCCCTGAGGCGGGGTAGGGAACACAAGGCTTATGAGCCTCATTCCCCAGATCTATAAGCAGTTAACAGCGGGCAAGGGTGAGGAGCTGTCCAAGCTCCTGTAACCCCTCACCCATGTTTCTGTGAGCAAACCCCAATAAACTCAGATTTGGGGGACTTCAATGAAACCCTTCCCTTTCCTCTCCCTCCACCCCCAAATCCTTCCTCTCTCTGGAGTGAATAGAAATAGCCTCCCTAGGAAACACGTTAGAGAAAGCCCTTGCACAGGGAAATACTGAAAGGTGTCAGCACTTTCTTCCTGGCTTCTAGGTTCCCCAAGTTGTGAGGGTTCCTAATAGGATGTGAGAGAGGCTGATAGTAGACCATCCTAAGTAAGCTGCATCTGGGGTCTGTGGTCAGCCGTGGGTCACAAGGCACCTCTGGTTCTTGTGCAGAGATGTACATTCTGCAGCCTCTCGAGGGTTCCAGGAAAGTGCTGTCAGCCAAACAGCTGCTTTTCTTGACTGCTGTCCAGCAAACTAGGGAAAGGTAGGCACAATCCCAGCCTGGTGGTGTCAGACCACAGAGCTGACCTGTGTGTGTGCCTTGGATGCAGAGACTTCTGTCCCCACAGCAAAACTTGGCAGCTGAGGAGGGGTCCCGTGCTACAGCCCCAGAGACGAATAGAGGGTCTCTGTGCAGAGCTGAAAGCTATTGTGAGCTGGTGTTGGGCTTTGCTGGGGGCTGCTGCCTGGGTCTCAAGGCATCACAGCTTCCCTGAAAATGTCCCCTTTTGCCCCCATCCACTTCTGGCCAGCTCAATAGTGACCCTGTGAGAAGGGAAGAGAGCTCTGGAGCCAGGCCAGCCAGACTCTCAGTCCCCTGGCTGTGACCTTAAACTAGGAACTTAATCCCTCTGGACCTCAATGGCTCAATTTTATTTTTCACTAATAACTATTGTGTGTGCACATATGTTCACACACGAGGGTGCTTGTACATATCTATGCATGTGCATATAGAAGACGGAAGCCAAGCTCAGATGTGTTCCTCATCCACCTTTCCCCCACCCCAACAGCCTCTCTCTGATTAGCCCCCAGGGATGTTCCTCCTCACCAGTACCAGAATTCCAGGCACACACAGCCACACTTGTCTCCAGCACCGGAATTCCAGGTACGCACAGCCACGCTTGGCTTATGAAATGCTTGCACAGAAAGTACTTTACCAACTGAGCTGTCTCCCCAGCCAGCTCGAGGTTAGAATGTGAATAAACATGGCATCCCGCCAGTAAGGTTGCCATGGAGACGTTCCTGAGTAGTGCTGAGTATGGTACCTACTATGGTATCAAGTATATACCATATATACAGGGGATGAGTCCATCCACAAACCGCCTAGCACGTAAGAGGCACTCAGGCTGGGATACCGTTTGACATAGGCAGGGCCCAGAGATAGACATTAGGCCAAGAATCTAAGTGCAGGTAGTTCATTCTTTATCTAACCCAAGATACTTGAGCCCCTCAAGCACATGGGGCACGCCTTGGTTTCCTTCCCCACTGCTGTAATTGGACACCCCAACAAAAGGATCTTAAGGGACCAAGAGTTTATTGTGGCTCGTGATTCAGGGGACCACCCATCATAATGGGGAAGTCCCATTTTCATTGTGGGCAGGGATTCTAGAATGTATAAAACAGAGGAAGCGAGCCAACCACTACAAAGCACTCCTAGCTTGCTGCTTCTTGGCTGTGGGTGTGAAGAACCAGCTGCTTCAGGCTCCCAGTCTACAGGTGATGTCACACGTCCAAGCCCAGAAAAGCCACGCGTGTGCTCCACAGGCCAACTAAACAGCCGGCTTACACAGCCTCTAGTTAGACCCTCTGCTTGCTATTCAGCTCTGCATGGGACCCCACCTCTCTCCCTCCACTCAGCAGCTTTGGACTTTTCTCTTGCCAGGCAGAGAAGCAAGAGGCTCGGTTGGTCACAGTGAACGCTCAGCGCCCAGACTGACAGGCATCATCCCGTTACAGTTTCCTTCTGTTTTTCCTGACCTTGCCCCTCTCTCTTCTCTCTTCTGTCTCTTATTTTAAATTATGGAGTCCTCTTGTCTCCATGTTGGTTCAAAGATATAAAATTATAAACAGTTATGAGACTGGAGAGATGGCCCAGTGGTTAAGATCACTCGCTGATCTTGCAGAGACCTGGCCTTGATTCCCAGAATCAACATGGTAGTTCACAATCGTCTGTGACTACAGTTCCAAGGGATGCTCTCCCTCTTCTGGCCTTCATTGTCACCAGACATGCATGTGGTAAACATACATTCACGCAGGCAAAACAGCTGTACACATAAAATAGTACATCAGAAAATCGTAAGGAGTGGCAAACTGGTATGTTAACAATGGGATTTGGGTACGGGGTCCTGATTTTGTAACTTGAGATTAAAATAGAATTTTAATTTATTGTATGAAAGTGTGTATGAAATTTTAATTTATTGTATGAAAGTGTTCATGTATGCATGTATGTGCAAGTACATGTGGTATACATGTGTATGTGTGTACATGTTCACGTGGGGGTTTCTCATGTGCCATGAAGGTGGGCACACATGTGTGAATGGACACATGTGTGGAGGCCAGGGCCCAACTCGGAATGTCCTCCTCAGTGACATTTCGAGACATGGACTCCACTGAACATGGAGCTCACTGATTCCCCGGGCTGCCTTGATCCCACACAGTCTGGGATCCATGCACGGCTTCGCATGCTGGATCTCTCAGTGCTGCGCTGCGAATCCAAACTCGGTCCTCACACTTACACAGCAAGTGCTCTGGAGACCGAGCCCTCTCTCCCCATCCCCCGCTTCTGCCTTTTTACGCTACTCATTGATCAAAGCGGAGTTCTCGGCATTGATGACTACAGAATCAAAGTATCTATCGACTATGAAAAATGAGGCGTTGAAGATGCCCTGATCCTAATCAAGATCTAAGCCAACCTCTAACTCTTCATCTCAAGATCAATAAGCATATACCTCGTTAATATGCTCATCTGCTTTCATCTTTAACAAATGACGAGGTTTTATGCATACCTGAGAATGGTTTTAAAGTAGATTTCTTTATAATGTATCATCCTTAAATGTTTTATTTATATATACCTATTTTTACACTCCCGTTTACCCAGGATCACAGATCACGTATAAACTTCTTGGATAAAATGGATTTTTTTTTTGGTAGTGGGTAGTGGTTGGGGTTTTTTGCTGTTGTTTGGATGTTTTGCCTGTATGTTTGTCTGTGTGCTATGGGCATCTCTGGTGCCTGAAGAGGCCAGAAGATGGCATCAGATTCCCTGGGACTGGAATTCCAGAAGGCTGTGAACCTCCATAACAGCCCTGGGAATCAGGTCCTGGTACTTAGTGAGAATAGGCAACGTTCTAAACCATTGAGCCATATATGTCCTGTTCCTGAGTGGAAAATGTCTAAAAAGCCCTGTTCTAGGGTACCACAGGAGAGACAACCCTGCTCTGCTCTAGGTACCACAGAATAGATAGCCCTGCTCTAGGGTACCACAGGATAGACCATCCCTGCTCTAGGGAACCACAGGATAAACAGGCAGGAAAATTATAAGAACAGTTGCTTGGTCAAAAGGCTAGAACTGTGGGGAGTGGGCATCCTGGCTGGGCATCTTGGCCTTCACCTGGACCCCCTAACTCCACCCCTAACTCCACCCCTAACTCCACCCCTAACTCCACCCC